ATTCGCCGGGTCAAGTGCAAATTGGCTTAGCATGAAAACGTTTTTGCGAATCATTTCATGTCATAGTACATATCAAAATTTCCCCTTTCTTGTGTTATCCCTTTTTTATTATAACCAAAGTGTAACAGATTGAGTTCGTTATTTGTTTTGCACATTTGAACGGTTTTTATTTTTTTTTTTATTTCTTGTTGACGGCTGGCTTACAAGCGGCACTTATATTGTTTTGCGGTTTTAACTACCAGCAGTTTCAATTTATTGATTCCTTTCCCCTTTCACGTGTTTTGCTCCCTAATTTAATTTAATTTTGGTTTTTATTTCGTTTTTATACTAGCAACCAGAATTTCCCGAATTAATTAAAGTTTCTTGTCAGCACTCTAACTAACAATAACCAAAGACATCATGCAGTTAGGTAGCTGTATGACTTCCACCTTTAATGAGATCACAAAGAGAGTTCTGCATTAATCCTACATCTTTTTTGATTAAGGCTTTTACGTCGTAAAAAGTTTACCATACATGTATCGCATGTTGCATTAGCTAAGTGAAAAGGCAAAGTAAACATGGTTTTAATTCGTTTTTCCTCCTGAAATCCGTACATTGAAATGTAACCAGGCTGATGGGAAGTCTAATTGCAAGCCACAACACAAAACAGTCAGTCAACTTTGTCGTTTTTCAAAGCTGTTACTAAGTTGTTGGCACACATCTCCTCCTTTCTCGAAGAACTTCGGACGCGGCAAACTTCCAGATTCTAACCAAAATGCCCAAAGGCAAGCACACAACCAAACAAACACTGAAAGACAGGATGCGACATCCCGCACACACACACACACACCCAGTGGTGTGTACTCAGCTGCGGCTCATTTGATCGCTGGGCTTGGCCAATTGACGGAGGAGAAGACTTTTTGCGTAAATATTTCTACAAAATGTTTGCTAATTCGACTTCTGCCCCACTCATCATTTGCTCAGCTGCTCAGCTGCTCAGCTGCTCGTTGTCATTTGTTTTTTTCTGGCCCCCCACAAAAGTTGCCAAAAGTGTAGCATCGTATCTCGGCCTCTTGGCCCAACATAATTAAATCCGGAAACATTCGACTTGCGGCCCAAAGGTTCATTTGGGACTATTGCCTACTTATGCGGGCACAACACTCCAATCAATATGCGCATTGGGAGCCTCTAATAAGGTTAAGTTCATTGGTGGTTATTTGAATTTGGATCAGAGCCAGTCTTTTTTTTGTTTAAACATAAAATCTTTGTCAACCTTATTTCAAACGAACTAGTAAAATTAATTGAACTGAAATAACAGAATTTGAAACTATTGAAAACTATCTTTAAAGTATGTATCAACAAAGAAAATTTAAGACCGTTCTGTTATAGCTTTAAATGTTTTGCGTTGGATTATTGATGGTATAGGCACCCTTATGGTGTTTGCGCAATAGTTTTAAAGTTTATTACTCATACGCAGTGTTGCCATTGCCTATTACTTATACACCTTACTTGTAGAGTAAAATGGTATGTTGCTTTGGAGGAAAGGTATGTAAGAAAGCGTTTTCGATCTTTTAAAGGCTATATATTCTTTGAAATATAGGAGCTTAAGATTTGGGACTAAGCACGTGGATTATACCAAAAACTTTCGAAATCAAGAAAATATTTCTGAAGTTTTTACGAGATTAAAGTTAAAAGACTGACAGATACTTTAACCTTTATCTGTTCATAAAAATAAGTTCCTCACCGCAAACCAAATTAATAATTGGACGTTTTGATTTTAGTTATTAAGAAATGATATTTAAAAGTCATTTAGTTGCATAACATGTTGAGCTAGGCAACCTGTTAACCAGCCAATTGGTTTGGAAAGAAAGTTGGCTCGCACTTGATGTTAACCAATAGGCCGGTTACGTGTAGAGTGGCTGCCGGCGCTCTTTTTGCTGTGGTTTCGCCCAAGTTCAAGTGCTCTAAAACTTTCACTCTCGTTTGGCAGTTTCCTACCCGTTTCGGCCATAAACGGGCAACTGTCGTTAAATATATATGAGAGCGCCTCGAGCCCATAAATTGCTGTTTAATGAGTGCAAACGCAAACACGAACGCAAACGCAACATGTATACTCGCACAATCGGACTCCATTACCAGGGAATTCGCTTTGCGCCCCGAAGACTTTTAGCTTGGCTAACAAGTTTGTTCCATTTTCCTGGGCGACTGGCGTTTTGAGTTATTAATAAATAGAGTGTTGCCCACCCACACACACACACACACACACATGGGCACATGTGGTACACATCCGTTCAGGTTCTCATCAATATTTACCCTGGCCAAGTAATTGATAGCTTATTGATTTACATGCACGAGAACTACCTTTCTTTTTATTTCCCTGCTTTTTCGCTTTGTGTTCAACCGAGTGCTCGCCTTTCTCGCCTTATTCATTTTCCAAAGAGCTTCGAATGCTTTACCTGTATGCCTATGCATTTAATTGTGCTTAGGTTTTTGTGATCTTGAGAAGGAAATAAGTATTTATTTATTTATTTTGTTTATTTCGCCAAGAGAACAATTTTTCATTGACTTCTTAACTAGACTCAACTAATTACATAACTAATGTATACAAGTAAAATGGTATTCAAGGGAAATATCCTACAATAAACAAGGCATAAGTCAATTTAGGCTAGAATAAACTAACTGCACTTTGGCTTGGATAAACTATATCATATTAAAATCCAACAATTGCATGTTTGTTTGCTGAAAAGTTTCATATTTTAAGAAGAGGCCTTCCCCAATTTCAGCTTGCCAGCTTAATGGGGGAAAAGCTACAGATTTGTACACAAATAATGAACTTTTTGGCAGTCAAAAACAATTGTATTAATTGTTTATTTATAGCTATTTGGTAAATAAAATTCGTATAACTTTTGCCATCTCGAAATGCTTGAAGTCTGAAAGGTAGGCCAAAATATAGAAAGTTCAGTTCACCAGGGGTGAAAGTTATGAGGCAATGAAGGAGATAAGCAAGTGGGCGGGGCAGGAGACAGCTGACTGATTAAGGCGCAATTGGAAGCTGTCTCAGCTGACTCAGCTGCTGATGATGATGGGCTTTGCCAGTTGCCGCAAAATACAAAATTCCCCCAAAGCCACACACGCACACTCCTCAAATCCACTTCCCAATTCCCCAGCCCGGTGCCTGGATGTCTCAGCTCGGCAAGGCCTGCCCTAGGCTCAGAACTCATTAAATTACAATAAAATAAATATCGCACCGGAAACTCACATAAATCTCGTCATTGGAATCCAAGGCAAAAGAAAATAATTCCGGAAAACTTGACAACATCCATTTGAGGTCGGGAGTCGAGTTAGGAGAATGTAATTTAACAATTCACATTTATGCCGATTTTACAAATACTTCTTTACTTTTTATACCCTTGCAGATGGTATTATAATTTCAGTCAGAAGTTAGCAACGCAGTAAAGGTGACATTTCTGACTCAATAAAGTATATATATTCTTGATCAGCATCACAGGAGTGTCGTTCTAGCCTCGTTCGTCTGTCCGTCCGTTTCTACGCAAACTAGTCTCTCAGTTTTAAAGCTATCTGCATGAAACGTTCGCAAAAGTTGTCATCTTCTATTGCAGGTAGTATATAAGTCGGAACGAGACGGATCGCACGACCAATACTATCAAGATATGCCATTTTGAAATCGGATGTTTGCAAGAAAAGTTATGGAATTAAAACTGAAGGTTTTTGGTACCTTTTTATACCTTTGCAGAGGGTATTATATATTCAAAAACCAGAGGTATTACGAGGGGGATAATTCAAAGAGCACATTAAAATGGGAATTTAATCAAATATCTGAGTTTCCACTGAGTAAATATTATTTCAATAAGCTCTCATTTGGCAGTTGAATTGTTTAAGCCTGATACATATATTTTAACCAAAATTAAACAAAAAATGGAGTGAAACGAAAGGAAAACCTCAAATTAACGAGTTCATTTAATAGCGGACATTTATTGTTTATTGAGTCGATTGCGTAAATACACCTCCTTATTGTCATTTGTAAATGTTCAACAGTAAAGTCTTTAAAAAACAGACACGAAATTAAAAGTTTGAATAAATAATACAATTTTAATTGAGTAGCTCTACTTAATGTACTTTTACCGACTAAGCGGCTTAACTTGCATAAACAATCATATAAAGCTTACAGTGTATTAAAAGACCTACGGTCTACTGTATATTTAATGCATATTTAAACACCTCCACAAACTCATAAAAGTGCCTTTAAATACTTATTCGCCATATAAATAGTATCGCCCCCAAACATGGTATCTAATTAAACGAGAACGAACTCAAAGGCAGATCATTGTTTCCACTTCCTACTTCCTGATCCCTAAACCCGCATGTCTTCAACTTTTATCATTTGAGGAGATTAACAAAAAGCCTGTCCAACTCTGCAAATATGTAAAAAACGAACGAAATAAAAACACCATTTAACATTTGTGTACAAAGCGAAAACAAGCGAATGGTAAAAAGAGCAAAAACTTTTCATTTTATGACGCATCAAAATAAAAGGTCGTAAAAAGCGAAATGGCACAAGAACCCGGCCAAAACAGGAGCGCGAAAATATAAAAAAGAAAACACTGCATCCAATAGACCGGAGTAAACAAATAAATAAACAGGCGAGCAAACAAAGAAGACAAACAGATGTATAATACTAAAGAACACTAAATAAACACCCTCGGCAGTAAAAACTCGACCGGGGGGGCTTAAGCCGAAAAAAAAATCAAATGAAATTAAATACGCAATGCGCAGATATGCAAGTGAAATGTGTACATATATAATCCCATGCCTCTATATAGTATTTAAGCCCCCCTTTTATATATACTTGTATGCATAGTCAGTACGGCTGGGTGTGTAACCAACTTCTTGTCATTTCTTCACATTAACCTGTCCAACTGTGCGCTGCTGATGACATTGTGATTCTGATTCTAATTCTGATTCTGATTCCGACTCTGACTGTGACTCTAATGATACCGCAGTGCAAACAGCAGCAACATCAGCATCCGCACCAACACCAACACCAGCCACAAGCGTTTGAACCGCTTCACCCAGTTTTTGGACCTCCTGCCCTTGGGACTCAACTCCAGCTCCGTCAAGTTGGCCACCACATCGTCGTCACCGCAGTCACAATCACACTCACAGTCACAGTCACAAACACAAACACAATCACAATCACAGAGCCAGCCATCCGTATCGGTATCCATGTCCCCGTCGCTGGGCAGTCCGCATCTCAGCAGTTCGCAGCTGGAGGTCTCTGCTGCCGGAGACAGCCTCCAACGATCCATTAGCTTCCACTCCGAGGAGCTGCTTCTGGACGTAGTGACCGGCGAGGAGTTCCGTGACCTGCAGCACAGGTAGTGGGGCCGTTTTAGGTGCATAGCACCAGGCACAATGTACAAAACACACCAGACACTACACACAGCAAACACAACACACACACCTGATATAATTATTCAAACACAAACGGCAGCTGCAGATGTTGCCCGGGCCACTCGGGCGCATACTTAATGTCCTGCTTAAGGCATAAAAACAGCGGGCAAAATATTCAGCTAACGAAAGAATGTAGCACACTGACAGAAATTCAAACGGACTTTGAATGGAAATCAATGTTAGTTCCCTCATGAGTAACATTATATTGAGATATTGTTCAACCTAAATCTAACTTATTTTAACAAAATATACGTATTTCAATAAATCAACAACTGAGTAACAATAAGAACTGAGTAACAATAAGAATTTTACTAGAAATTATATAAATTTTTATATTTTTAAGATTTAATTGTTTGGCATACTCCCTCATAAGTTATCACTTTAGCATATCTTATTTTGTATTTTAAGTAATTATGCATTTTATAAATAAGTTAGCTACAAGGGTATATAAACTTTGGCGTGGCGAAGTTAGCTTCCTTCTTGTTAATCTATATTTTACAAAGATGGGTGAATGTCTGTATGGCAATGGTGTTCATCCTTTTTTTATTTCTTTTGACTTACAACATATCTGCCTTGTCAGTCACATACATATACTGATTATACTAAAAGTCCAAAACAGGAGTTGAAAGAATTCTTTGCCTACACGCCCACATACTACGAAGTTATCTTTATCTGCAAAACTTTCTTTAAATCTTGTTGCAGTGAGCGGTTAAATCAGAGCCAGAAGCCATGTTTAATGATTTAATTTGTTAAATACTTGTAGAATTTCGATCCCAGCATGAACAGAATGTCAATTAAGACTGGGGCTTGAAGTGAAGTCCAGATTAAAGCCCACTTGTTGAACATTAGAGTGAGTAAATTCTCTTCAAATCACGAAGCAACTGCGACAATGCGTACTCGACTTCAGTAAAACAATGCGGCAGGCCCAAAAATCAAAGTATAAATGGATGGACAGGGATTAGGGACCTGGTCTGATGGTGGCTACATGGTGGCAACACAATACCCTGCTGGGGGAACTCAAAACCCGGGACTTAAGCACGCGAACCACCTTTGTGGCGATGAGAGATTAGGGATTAGAGCTCGCAATGTGGATAAGTGGATTAGGTGACAGTGGCCACAAGCGGAGCTTGACCGCCCACTTTGGCACCCACCTAAATGTATTTTTATCGAGCCAAATTAAATTTCGATTCCAGCGAAAATTAAGTAATTGTGGCGTTTAAACCACGTGGGAAGCAATTATCATGTACGATTATCACGGGAAACGCTGACTTAATTGAAACTAAACGAGTATGCCGGTTTGAAGCACTTGACAGGTTGATTTTCCAAGAATTTTAAAACGTTTGTAACTGCTTGAAGGAAAGCCAAGTTGATTTTGTCATTTCCCTCCATAAAATTAGCTTTCTGGGAACATAAAAGGGTAAAGATTTACGACTTTGTGCTGGCCATAAACTTGGCCAACAATAAAAAGATTAATTTTGATACTAATTCCAAAAAGGTTAAATGGTTAAGAGGTTAAAAATCCGAATCTGTTGAGTGTAATCTGTAATGGGCTCTAGAAGTGCAGTTGGGGGTCTCCTTTCTGCGAGGAATGGAAAACTTAGAAACTTAGCTTAGCAAACAAATTGGAAAAGAGTTTTACCAACATTAGAAGTAGCGATTTAAATGGATTTCTAAGAGAATTCAACAGGTTACGCAGGTATACAGCCAACAAATTCCAGGAACCATTTGTACTTTTCTTGGTTATCTCTGATTTAAAAATATTTATTTAATGGAATATTCTCTTGGAATCTACACTCCTCTGTTTGTTTTAATTTCGGCTTAAACAGTTAAAAACGGCTTTAAAATCGGAAAACAAATTGTTGAATTTAGTTTCCAAAAATTGTGATTTAAAGGAAAAAATAAAATGAGTGCGGCTTAATCCGAAATTTAATTCCACAGAAAACTTTAGATTTCAAGAGAAGTTAAAATTGTTTTCAAGCACTTCAACAACTATCAATTGCACAATTGGTTCGTGATAATTTAGAAATCATAATAGCACCTGAATGGGCTATTCAAATTGCAGTTCGTTTTGTATCAATCTACTATTTACTTGGCAAATTGGGCAAAAAAAATGGTGCACTTACTGCAAGTTTGAGCGAAATGAGCGGATTGAACTGTCGCCTTTTGGCCTTTGCCACTTCCGCGGCGGCCCAGCGCCTCATCAATCACAGGAAAATAAGGGCAAATTAATTAATTACTACTCAGCTACCGGGCTGATGAATAGCGGCTGAATAATGTATTTGAGGCGTCGTGGGGCGTGGCGAGGCGGTACTTTCTCGCAACTGACAACTGTGTAAATCGAATTAGCGGAGAAAGCGATGCCCACTTGGATGACTGGTCAGCGGTGGTGAAAGCCGGCACTCAAGGTCACTCGGCAACATGGCAATGCAATTAAGGGGGAGGAGGGGTCTCTCATCGAGTGGTGACCGCAGTCAGTGGAGACAATTAGGGAAGCAGTAACCAGTCGACCTTGGCTCTTCCTGTTGACATGGCGCTCATTCGATTTGCTTTTTAACTCGTGCATTTTGCAGTCAGCATTCAGCATTTAGCATTTAGCATTGTCCTTGACATTGACCTTGGGCCGCTAATTGCATCACAATGGTTTCAGGTGGGGCCCAAACGCAACCCACCACCCTCCAATCGCATCGATCAACCACTGTCATAGCTTTGGATATTATCTTCATCCTTCGGCGAATTGGTTTTCAAGTTCGTGTCATTAAGCTGAGATTCATTGCTGTCATTCCGCTCTATCTTCATCTGGGATATCCACCTGAAGGTAATCGAATGTCAACAGGATGCTGGATGGGGGATTGGGGGGCAGGTTTATTAGTTTTAAATAGAAGCCATAAATAATGCGTCTCCAGTTTGTATGCAGTTGCAGTAGCCCGTAACCGGATTAGCAGCCATTTAACGTTAAAAAACTACTTTGAAAGAAATATGTTAAACAAATGTATCGTGTCGTTCAATTGAACGATATGCAAATAATTGATAATCCTTTTTAAAGCATAAACACTACTGGTGGTACAGTTTAAATGGCTTTTGCTTTTCAATTTATTTCATTTTAATTATATTTATCCCTATCCTTCGCAACGTCTTATTCATGACCATGTTTTTTTTCCCCAACAATATCCCCAACTTAATGATGCTGTCACAAATTAAATTGCACTCAAGTCCAAAAGGCAGTCTCACAAAAGCGGGATAATCGAATTTTATGAACAAGTTGTGCTAGACTGGTTGCAGTTCGAAGTTAAAATTTAATCACGATTTTATGCAAGCATTCCTGTAAATTAATCCGAATTTGGACTATTGAAAATTATGCAAATATACGCAAAATCCTTTACTTAAAGCATGCCTGCCAACAAAAAAAAAGGCAAAATAAATCGTTTTATTACTATTAAGTATATGGTTCTCCACAAGAATGCCACAGTCCAGAATTATTGTGAAAGGAAAATTAATTAGCGAGTGGGAAAACTTAGTATACAAATGAGAGCAAACAACTAAATTTGATTTTAATTAAGACCTATGCAACGTTCATAACGTTTTGTTTGGCTTCGTCAGCCTTTAACTTGGCAGTTATTATGATGAAGCACACGGATGCCATTATGCAGAAATGGAAATTGTGTTTCCTGCTGCATCGGCAATCCTGCAATCCTGCAGTTTTAATCAGGCCATCTTCCCCAGCTGGCTTTTCAGCACCAGCAAAAAGTGACAGAATTCGCGGGAAATTTTGTATTATTTGGCTGTCGAACTCAGCGGCAAATGAGTTTGCAGCGAGAGCTGCAAAAAGCCGCAAGACCCTGTAAACTGAAACTTTCACCATTGCCGCTCGACTGTTTTAAACTCTTCTTCGGGGATTCGTTTCCTCATTAAATTTTGACTATGCGCTAAGCTGGGGGAGACTGCGGTCTTTCAAGTCAGCTCGTATAGCCGCCACTTGAGCCATTGTTGCAGTCAAAAAAAAAAACAAAAGAAAACTTTCACTCGTGTGATGTCTGGCTCCGCAAAGATATACCTTCCCGTGGTTCAGAGTGCCAGAGGAGCGAAAATGGGAATTAAGGCTTCTGTTTTATTGTGACTTGGGACTAGTGCCCTGAATGCTCAACCATAATTTCATTAAAGATTGCCACTCATTTGGCTTCACCTTGAAAATAGCTGAGTTTCAATCTCATTGACTTTCACTATTTGCAGTGAGTCAATAATAATTGGCACAGAAATTTAATAGTATTTTACTTTGATGTTGAAAGATTTTGAGAGCAAATTATCAGAAGTGAAACTAATTAAAACACTAAGCTCAGAGGCTTTTCCCTTGAAGGACCTCCTTTGAGGACCACGATGATGGTCCTTCCAGCACCACCTGATTTGCATTGGACGTGGTCTTCAACTCTCTTGTTTTCGCCAGTCAGGAATTTTAATTGCATATTTCTGGCAGCTAGCATTTGGTTGCTAAGCCACTTCTATGGACTCCAAGTGCAGCTAGGAAAGGGAATGGGAATGGGACTCGGAATACCGATGCCCTGATTGCAGATGCAGCACCTGATAATTGCCCACCTGACTGATTAAACGTGTTTGTGCACTAGAAAATAAATAGGCAGTTTAAAGTGAGTTTCAATTTGCCACTGCATGCAAAAAACAAAGAGTTTTAAAATCACCTCAAGAGTATGCAGTAAAAAATGAACGTATTTTTATTAATATATCCAATGGACTTTTATATTTAACATATATTGATGCACATTATTTACACACTTTTTTTTTTTAGCCAGTTAAACCCCTTTAATGTAAGCATTCATGAACTAAGTGAAACAAATAGTTTTTTTTCAGTGTGTGCATGGGCCACATTGACTACATCGACACAATGGTCGAACAGAAGCTCGAAACTTGCGGCCAGGTGACAATTTTATTGTGCGGCGAGGCCGAATTGCACATTGCAGCCCCGCAAAATGTGTGCGAAATTGAGGGTCTTTGCCACAGGTAGCGATAATTTTCCGAACAGACTGCATTCTAATTTTTGCCGCAGAGCCCTGCGGAAAGGAAATTGAATTCCTGAGCCTACTAATGGTCGCCGTGTCAAGGGTCAACCTGCCACCGCTTGGGTCATCATTGCATTAATGATTAATGGGGCATTGACCACTTGTTCAATTAAAATAAATGCAGCTTAAGAACGTATGTGATATGTGAACTAACGTTAATATAATGTTAAATATTTCCCAACTAAAACTAATATATATTATTCTTATGATTAAACTTAAGGCAACTAGATTACTTAATACTTATGTCTTGGATAGTAATTTATATAAATTTACAAAGCGATGTTGCAATCAAAGCAAGCTAATTCCAAAATAAAACCATAATATATTTATCCCTTAATGATTAAATGCAATTTGTAAGCCACTGTACGTAGTTTAATAACTGTTATGAATAGTTTATAGGTAGTAAGACTACAGTATAGTCTGCAGTTATGGCCTGAAACGATGCACCTCACATCTCAAACAATTTATTGCTCACCATACTAAAAATAAACTACAAATCACATAACTTCACCCAAATTCTCATTAATCAACATTTACCACAAACTATTCTTTGTAGTTTTAAAAATGTTTTAGATTCGTTTTCAACTTTAAACAATTTGCTTTGACTTTTCACTTTTGTCTTTAACTTTATGTTTGGCACTGTTGAATTTTGTTCTTTAAAATGTAAATCACTCGAACTGCTTGAAATGCCTGAAAAGAAAAGGCGCTAAGACGATCTCAAAATTGAAAATCATTTAAGAAAATAGTGTGATTCGAAATTTAACTAAATAGCGTTTTAGAAAATAAAGAAAGTCGAAGTTCGAGTGAGTTACTTGGCGTCTTTGGTTGACCCATCAGTTGCAGTTTCGAGTAAATCGCCTCCCTAATCCCAGTATATTTACCCTTCTCGTCCAGATCCACTCACAGGGATGAGTTTGGCACGCAGCGCGTCTACAAGAAGACCTCGCCGAACTGCGTGCTGACCTTATATCTGCCGACTCGCGAAATTACCCTCACCGGCAACAATCCGTCCGTTTTGCGCGGCATTGTCTACGTGGACCCCAAGGCCATCCAGGGATATCGCGTATACGCCCAGCTGACGCTGACATTTCGGTGAGTCCGCCGTCGCATCGGCTTCAGTTTTCAACATTGAACACTGAAACTGCAACTTTGCCACAACTACTGCGCCTTCCTCGGATTTCCCTGTTTTTAGGTACGGCCGCGAGGACGAGGAGGTGATGGGTCTGCGGTTCTGCAACGAGGCCATCATGTCGCTGCACCAGATTTGGCCACGACTCGAGGAGCCCACGCCGGAGTCCCTCAGTCCCCTGCAGGTAATCATAGAAATTGAAATTATGCATGCCTTCGTCCTTCGTTCTTCGTCCTTCGTTCATCTGCCAACACTTGGCGGCAGCAACTCCTGCATCCTGACGAACGCTTGACCGACAGTTTCTGGGGGGGGGAAGCTGTCCAACTTTGGCATTAACAATTGATGACGCTGCGGATTGGCCAGCCCACAAGTCACCAATCCACCATCCTTCGAACCAACGCCATCAATTCGGCCGGGAAAGCACATAAATAATTGGACAATTTGCAGGGGCTGGCATCGCCGCCATCGCTTGGCACCTCAACTTCGCGAAATTTCGAGGGAAATGCGGCTAGAGTTTCAGTTCGCTGCCATAAAAGCTGCAATTAGTTCAACTAAAATCTGATGAAAGAAAGTTTTTAGTTAAAGCATTCTTTAAGTGTTTTCGCTTCCCAAAAGGTAATACCGATTTTCCAAGAAAGAGTGCACATTCCTCAGATGAATTAGTAATTTCCTTAATTGTACACTGTGGACAAAAGTTAAAACTAATTAACTAAAGCTAAGGAGAAGAATATAGTTAATATTCAACTCAGCAAGAAAGTTAGTATCGCCATGGAGTCAAAAGCAAGTTTTAGTTGTATCCAAAGTGTCCACCTGAAATCGTTAAAAACATGCCAATGCAATAATGATAAATTATGTTTTTGTTTTAGTAAACAGTAGACAACTGTTTTTCAAATGTTATTAGCGTAATTAATGGTGGTTTTTGTTGCTGTTAACAAAGAACTACGTATGTGCATTTTAGCACCCCGGACTTTAAACATAACTCAGCATTTACTTGATGTTTAACTATCCTCATGACGAACTGACGATTTTGTCTCGACTCGAGACCCAACTCAGAGTGTCGGATGAAGCCCGGAGCCACTTGTCCTGGATTTTTATGAGCAGCACGTTGAGTTCGTCCGTCCGGATGCCGACATCTCACGTGCGCCCCTGGATATACAGTGGCACACTAGGGTGGTCCAGAACTGCGTAAATATTTCAATGTCCTTCGTGAGGGTTTGGAAACAATATGTTTCAGACTTTACTGTTTTCATTCTTGTGGCACTGACTTGGTGTTACTTAAGATAAACTTTATTTTTTTTATTTACATCTTTGGGGCGTAGGACCACACTTCCATAAAATCATATTTTTTAGATCAGAAAGTAACATTTATCTTTTAACTTTTGAATATACTTTCGATTAGCAAACAGCAGTAATAATATATATTTAGTTTGAGTTATAAATCTTGATACAACCATTTTTTCATTAGTATAAAAAGATTTTTCGAATTAAAAAAATTACATTTTTTGCTCTCCATATTTTGGTTTTATTTTTGGAAAGAGGTCGATATGTTGAGAAAATTGCAAAAAGGGGGAAAGTCTTTTTTTGTATAAATTTTCAACTGTATGCTTGTAACACATAGGTAATTGGATTGAAACAGAGAACATTAATAAAAATATTTGTTGGTTCTTGCACTTTATTTGAAAAGGTAACAGTATTTTTTATTTATTTTTTTTTCTGGCACACCCTATTGCGCATACATATATATTTGTGTATTATATGTATCAAATGTGATGGGGACCGTTTTTCACCGGATTCTTCCTGCCTTCGAGAGTTTGTTCGGTGCACTTAAACCAATTGAAAATCAATTTCATTTAACTAAAAGCCAAACAAATGTTGCCGTTGCCGTTGCTCCTCCAAATTCTTTCTGCATTGTTTCGGATCCTCGCACGGACTTTCCATGGATCGAATGGTGGCCGAAGGACAAAGGTCAAATAAGGAGGGGGAAGCTGACCGAAAATTTCAAATTCAACTTTTCGCATTTTTATTAAATTTGACATGGAATAATTTATTTTTTTTTGCCATCCCATTTCCGACAACTCACTCCCCGCACAAATTCGGTTAGCCAATGGGTTTTCTCGCTCCACTTCGTCGTAATGGACTCGCAGGCAACCGTATTCTTTTAGGGTTCTTAGACACACTTGCACACACACACCCACACACACACCTACACACAAATACATGGACTAACACATACAGGCGCACGCATAATTAAATAAATTTGATTTTAATAACTTGCCGAACGACAAGAGCCCACAAAGATAAAGAAAATCCGGCCAAAAATAGGCCTCAACAAACAGTCGAGACAAGTGAGAAGGGGATGCGTATAGATTGAATAGTACACTGAGAGAAATTGATATTTTCGTCTAAAATATTAACATAAATGTTCCTGTTAAGCTTAATTTGTATACAGAGGTTGTTTTAAGTTTTAGTCGAAGGATTGCATATCATATAGATGCTATTGGAAAAATCAAAAAATACTTTGGAAATTATATTAAAATCTGTATATCTTAGACATTTTCAATTCTTTAAAAATAGAAGGACCATAGACGTATTTGCAAAAATGGCAACAGTGCCATTGTTTTAAGCATAAATAATGAATAATTATATATTGTAACTTTTTTTTTTAAATGAAACATTTTTGTTAAAGCTGCAAAAGTGAAGAAACTGATTTGTAGTTGTTGTCAAGCTTTGCGGTTTCTGAAAAAACAAACATGCTTACAAACGACGCAGCTGAGAATGTAAATGAAATAAAACTCAGTTTCCTTGGATTCTTTTGAAAAATGCAATTTGATGCCATTTTTCATCTAAACTGTATGATGCGAAAACCGTAATAAAAAGCTTTGCCTCAAGACAACAGAGACATGTGTCACAGTTTACTTTCATAAATGCTCACTGCAACCAGGCAGATAAACCACATTGAAATGTTGTGGAAGAATCAGGAACAAATAAAGCCCGAAGGACACGGCTTTCGTTGACCCGGCAACCTAAGAGTACACGTGCCAACGATTATGTTTACCTAGATACACGCATGTTTTTATTTCAAAGTATACATTTGGGTGAGTCCTTATTTCGGGTACAGTCCCGTCTGAGGGGGAAAATAATTTTAAACTAAATTAATTAAATTGATTAACAGTACTAAGGTTTTAAATACATTTTGTTTTTGTTTGGGGAACTGCAAATACGCAAATATCTTTTATAAATCTCTTATAAAGGTCGACTCCATTAAATGTACCCACATAGTTGTAGGTACTTGCGAAAATGATATGCAAATGAAATGCTGACCAAAAACACTCAGGCAGTCGGGAATTTTATTTGCGCCCCAAATGGTAAAGTGATAAATAAATCAACATATTACATTCTTGCCTTCCGCGATTATACTGATTTCAGCTTCGAGTTTCCACATGAATCGCAATGCTAAGCCGCAAATACTTTTCCACTTTGTGTATTCCCATTTCAGGAGGCCCTGATGAAGCGTTTGGGAGACGGCGCCCATCCATTCACCTTGTCGCTGTCCTCATACGCACCACCCAGTGTCCAGTTGGTTCCGGCCAAGCGATACTACGGAGCTCCGATCGGCACCAGCTACGATGTCCGCTGCTTCATTGGTGAGTCCTGCTTTTCCTGGGGGCACAAGCCAGTTGAGAGGTGAAACTTCAGCCAAGGAATGCCAGCCTATTTTAAAAATCAGCTTTTCAAGGGCCACAGAATTATGAGTCATAGAAATACACCCCAAAAGATATATATATTGAACGATAGAGAAAAGGATTATTAAAGATAAAAAATGTTTAAGTCGATGCAATCCTCCAGAGATCAAACCTTGTTTTCCGGTGCAGATGGACTTCCTGATTCAGAAAATGATACTCAACATTTTTGCTATTACCCGCAATATTTTTTACACTTAATTGTGGTAATGACTTGGCAGAAATTTAGTAAATACGTTTTAGTGATATAGAATCTATAAATTTTCGTTAAACTTTAATTTTATTGCTTAACAATTATCTAAAGAAAATGTATTATATCGTATTTTAAATTGACAATTTGAGTTTGTCAATCAACTAATAGGCAAAAAAGGTTTAAAGCACTGGGCAAACATAAAGTGAGCATTCCATTTGAGACAGTCTGGAGCGGAATGTCTTGGGACTGGGTCACAGACAGACATCAGGCTTCCACCTGAAGTACTCACCCACATTGCTGACAACCTGACACCCATCACCACCCACCACTACCACCCAGCAGCCATCGCCTTTCACCCACCACCCACAACCCACAACCCCAATCAAACCCAGTCCAGCGCCATCAAAGATCAAAACATCGTCACCAACTGAACCCAGTGGCGACTTCGACTGTGACAATCAACTCGGCTCAATTATATGTGTATAAATATCCATCTCTCCGCCAGCGGACACGCCTCCTTCAATCTTTGCTCATCGAATCATTCGCTGACGTCAGCACGGGGGGATTTTTGATTGATTTTCGTTTCGATTCGTTTGGCATTTGTTTTCTTTTTGTTTTTTGGGCTTTGTTTTGCTTTTCAATGAAATGCTCTGAAAATGGAAAACAAAAGTTGATAAAAAACGGTAAAGAAAGCTGTCTTGGCCAAGCCAAATTTTTTATACTCTTGCAGTGAAAATTGTCCTTAACTCTCTACTACATGAGCTCATTTCCCGAGAAAAACTACTTTCTTATGCCAATTTCCTTTTATTTGGTAAACTTTGTTACTTTTTTGTGAAAAAAACTTTAACTTTGTTAAAAATACAAATACAATATAACGAAATAAAAAAAAAATAAAATTAAAAAGACAGCGAAGTAAGCAAAATTTGGCTACATTTATTTTTTCAATGGTTCCTTTGGAAGTTATATGATATAGTATATAAAGAAAGACCACTTTTGACAAAAGTTTCAAACAAATAGCTTTAAAACTGAGAGACTAGTTTGGTTGAATAACGGAGAGACGGACGCACAGACATGACTAGATGTACTTTTAATATGATACTCATTGATTTGCCAAAAAATAAAATAAAAAGCCAACCCCACTGCAAGGGTATAATAATAAAATCAATATTAAATGCTTTCACGAGACGAAGCCGTCGGCTTGAATTCGAAATTGGGATCACATTCAGATCCAGATTGTGATTCTGTTGATATTATTTTAGTCGTTCCGTGGCGCCCGAGGTCATACGAAATACGTCCGTGATTCCGTATTTTATTTTCTTTTCTTTTTTTTTGGGAAGGATATACGCACAGTGGCAGTGCCTTGCAATATCCTGTTAAACGAAAACCATGCGACTTGGCCATCGCCGCTAGCCAACACGAGATTTGGTCCAGAATTATCCCCACTCCCACTCCCGATCCCCTATTCCCGATGTCCTACTCCTGGTCCTGGTACGAACCCCTGCCCAGCGCCTTTGTCTCCAGGCAGTCGTGCAATTGTTAGATCCGGCATGCAAAGCTGCTCCTGCGGTTGCCTCTGGCAACCCACGCAGGGCATCCGGAAATTGTGGGGGGGAGGGGCTTTTGGCCAGGTCCTGCTGCTGATGCCTCCTCCTCTGTACCTCCATAATTACTCTGTGCCTCCAGTACCATTATTCTCCGCCTTTGTCAGCTGGACGAGGGTCGAAAGTCGAAAGTCGAAGACAACGGTGCGTTTCACAACTTACCATAGGAACTAGCAAATTTATGGACAGAATGAGTAAGCCGCTTGCCAACGGAACGGATTGCCTGTTGGCATTGTGTTGAATAACAAGGAGGATTTACTGTAGTTAAAGTTGTTGAGCGATTGCCAACCGATTGTTATGCCCGAAGGCATTTTCGATTATTACTTTATACGTACTTACTTAGTTCAACTTTGTGTTTTATTTAACTTGGAATTCGCAAACTTATGGCTGGAAAATGATTGTTAAATGCATGTACATACCTACTTTAGAGCGTGCTCTAGGGCAGCTTGAACGTTTAACAAAATTAAAGGGTCCCACTTCAACGTTGGTGCATTAAAGGCAACCAAAAGTTATGATATCGGATTGGCGTTAAAGTTTCTTACTAAAACCTACATTTCCACAAATTTTCATGACCATAAAAGATGTCAGTGTGTTTATTTCAATTTACGTGTCAGTTTAAACTGAAAATGATTGCAAGGCAGCAATTAAGTTACACTGGGCAACAAAATGAGCATAATGAACAGGCTTTGTTAATTAGGATTATTCCAACGTGAGGTAGCTATCATGTCTGCTCACAAGTCGGTTCATTTCTTTTTATACCCTTGCAGAGGGTATTATAATTTGAGGAGCATCACTAGGATAGTCGTCTGTCCGTCCGTTGCCACGCAAACTAGTCTCCATAAACTTGTTAACACAAAAGGGAAAAATAATTTAATACAATAAAAAAGAACTGGGGCTGTTATGCCAGGGAACTTGTAAGCTCAAAAACAATACAACACACACAAAAAAAAAAAAAAAGAAAAGGCGCTCGCTGAGTTGGGAAACGCACTGTATCCTTGGGTGGAGGTGGACCACATATTACTTATAGCCCCACTCATGATCGTACGCCCCTCATCCCGTATCGTTCGTATCGCCCCCTATCCAATCACATAGAGCTCCTGACCGACGACGAGCTACCGTGAGCGGAGGCCGCCAAGATCAAGCGCCGTCCGTCCAATCCGCTGGCCAGGTGGGTCTTAAGGCTCTTCTGCCACGGCTGCTGTGCCTGTATGTGCACGGCCCTCGACTCAGGTACATCAGGCTGTAATTCTGATTGTGATTGTGGAATGTGGATTTCGAGGTCCGAGATCGAGTTCCGATTGTGGATTTGGATGTGGATGTGGAAGCGGATCGGATCGAATCGAATCGGATTAGATCTGATTGAATCGAATCGGCCACGCTATCGGTGTCGTTTTCCTGTTGCTGCTCATGATCGTACTCTTTTCCATTTCCATTTTGGTTTCGGTTTCAGTTTCTGCGTTCCATCCGTTTCGATCTCTTCCGTTCCGGTGCACTCAGTTTCCATTCTTTTCTTCGTTTTGCAGTTTTTTGGTGTTGTGGCTTGCTTTTTCTCTCTCTCTCTTTCTCTCTCTATATTCTCTCTCTCTCTTTATTTATCGGTATTGCATCTGTCCATGTCAGTGTTGGGAAATGCCAGTGTACCTTTGCCTTAACTTATTAATAACTACATTTTTTCATATCTTATCTTATTTAATTCAATATTTAAATAATTCACTATTAAAGTGATATTAGTATGACACAACGAACATATTAAAATTGACAGTTTTTAAACATAGTATGCGTTTCAGATAATTAAATTTAATAGTTTTCTCAGAAATCATTTTAAACAATCGCTCTTTTCGGCATCCTTACTGTATATAACCCCTTAAATTACCTACATAGCTAAATAAAAACTACATAACTCGAAACACTATTTGTTACGAAAAAATAGGAACTTGAAGTCGTCGAGTTATGTAAGTATTATTACGAGTTACGGAAGTTAGACCTTGGTAGCTCTTCCAACACTGGTCTCCCCGTCTGTTCCTTTCCGTTGTTGTGCTCCATCTCCATTGCTGTTGAAAGCTCATCTGTTAGTAATTTTCCGTTTCCGTTTCCGTTTTCTCTCCCGCCTTGCATCTCTCCATCTTTCCATCTATCACTTTCACAAACACTTTCGCCACCTGTTTCTTTCCCTCCACTTCTGTGTGCTCCGCCTTCATTTGTTTCATGTTCAATGTGTTTGCCATCCGTTTAAGTGGCCGCCTGCCTGCCTGAGGTTAAAAACAATACTCATGATCACTTGCCATTCGTACGATTAACGGACCTGGGACTGGAACAAAAATTGAGACAATCCCCAAAATTGAAGGATATTTCGCAACGAAAATCCTTGCACCAATTGAAAAGCTTAGCAAGCGTTGGCGGCGGCAACGGTAGCGGCAAACGAAATATACATATTTTGTTTTAATCTATAACTAATTGGGATTATCCTTTACCGTTTCACCCATTTTCCCTTCGTTTCCCTTTGCTCTTCTTCGCACCCGCCCCCGCCCCGCCCCTTCCGTTCTCAACTGATCTTGCAGCGGACAAAACGGATGAGAAGTTCCATCGCCGGGCATCCGTGAAGATGGGCGTACGGGTGATCTATCGCACGGACGTCTTCCACCAGCACTTGGCGCCGGAGCAGTTCGCCGCGTACGCCGGTCGCCAGCAGCACGGCGCACAATCGCCTCCGGCCAGTGCCACACCCCCCTCTGGAGGCGAAGGCGGCGACCAGCAGGCCAGCCATTCGCAGCACTCACAGTCGCAGCCGTCGAGTGGGTCCAAGCAGAAATCCAAGTCCGAGCGGGGCGACTCCTTCCCCAAGCTGCGCCTCTCGCCCAAGTCCTTCCGCTTCAGCGGCAGATTCGGGCGCAGCAAGAGCGAGATCGAGAAGTGCCCCAACGATCCGTTCCACAGCTACAGCAAGTCCTTCCAGGAGGTAAGTTATTAAAAAACTAGAAAGCCTTAAGACCCCTTTCAGGAAAGTTATTATTTGACTTGGTACTTCTAATTTCGGACTGCAAAAGAGGGATGAATTTAAAAATAATTGCACTCAAAAAAAATTCAGACAGAGCGAGATAACACGTAGGCCAATTTATTTATGAGGTATTTATATTTACAAGCCTTTGTTTTCTTTATCATAAGGGATTCCCAGAAATTTGATTGTTAGCAAAAAATCGTATATAATTCATATATATTTTTTTAATTTTGTAATAAAAGTTATAAAATACTCCTTATATTACTGTTATTTTCCATTTATTAATAAAAAAAAACTGATTTCACCTTCCTCAATATATTTAAAAGTATCCTGTAGGACAAGTATTTCAACATTTATTATATATTCTAATAAGCATCACAGAATAACAATTATTTCAACTTAAATGACTAATTTACTTTTGAATTAAATGCACAGAATGTAACGGAAATTGTTAATATTTTTGGTGGTTTTGTCAAGTTGAATTCAATTTTGGTTAAGATTTAAAAGGAAATATAACTCTTTAAAACAAACTTAAGTTGCCATGAAAATTCCTAGAAAATGTGGCGTAAATATATAAATTTTAGTGTCTCTTAACTAAACCGTAGTTGGTCACTGCAAAAGCCTTGAATACAAATAAGAAATTGTGGGAGATTTTTAAGTTGACTTAACTATAGCAAGCACACATAAATTGCGATGATAACACTTAGAAAATGTGGCATCAATATGTGTATCTTGTGCCTCTGAACATAGCCGTATTTGGGGCCCTAAGCTGCTTGATGTTCCCATATTTTGGACCCAAATGAGCCATTTGTTGTCCCGATTTTCAGCACTGTGACAGAATTAATAATTTCCGTACAATTTTTTTGGGGAGACTATAACCATAGCCAAGCCAACTGAGCCGTTTGTTGTCCCGATTTTCAGCACTGTGACAGCATGTTGCCGCCGCACACTGGCGCCGGGGTGACCGGCGGCATCGGGGGCGTCAGTGTGGGTCCCTGCGGAGGTCCCCAAGGATCCGTGGACAAGCCCTTCCTGCTGCACGACGGCCGCGTCGGATTGAGGGCCAGCCTGGACAAGGGCTGGTACACCCACGGCGAGGACGTCCAAGTGACCGTCAATATACGCAACGACAGCCGCAAGACGGTCCGCAAAGTACGGGTAAGTTTTGTGGCAGCCTTGTCCATCAATCCTCCTGAGGAAAACCCCCACATCTTCACACAGTCCTTGGTTATGCAGGCAATCATTGGGGCTGGCATAACGCATACGCAACGTGGTGCAGCCCAGGTGAAGGCTAACAAACTGTTGCATTTTGGTCTGACGCAGAAAAAATAATTGCATTCTAAGTGGCTGAATCTAGTGAGTGATTGTGAAAAGAGTGTAGACAATTTTATTTAAACTTATATTGATATTAAGAGAGAGATTTGAAAATATGAAACAAATTTTAACTGGAAACGCCATTCGATTGGGAATTTAATGACGAATTCACCGAGGTATGACATTCCATATTTGGGCCATCTATTCTCAGCGTTTTGGTAGAAAAACTGATTTTTAAAGTTTTTTTTGGGGTTTTGGAGACTTGTCAAAAAAACAAAATTGTAAAGAGTCCTTTTGTTGTAACTTGGCCAAAATAAGACGTAAAGCCATAAGAGTAACTGTTTTGTAAAGCTGGCGACCTATACTACCCATCGACATTCGGTTTAAATAAATAAATTTTGTTTTGGTTCAAAAACAGATTTTTAAAAATCAATTTTTTGAAGAAATTAATTTTATGACCAATTTTTGCATTTTTGATGAGGATGGGGGTCATAATTTTTTTAAAAATTTGAAAATATAATGATTATGGAACATATATATGTATGGTCGCTTTGATATGTATTTTAAGGACTTTGAATTTACCAATGTGTTTAAATATTTAGAGAATTTTTAAATGGTACTAATATTTAGAGAATATTTAGATGCAAAGATTTAGAAAATAATAATTAATTAATAAAATTAATAATACTATTAAATATATATTTCTCCCAGAGAAGTAAATAATAACTAAACTCTTATCTTAGCAGGCAGCATATATTTGCTGTCCCAAAATCATAAATTTACAAGAATATTCAGGCTTACCCAACAAAAATAGATCTCCTTCAACAAAGCTCAGTTGAAGAAATTAAGTACATGGTATGAAGGCTTAATTTACAAACCAGAGTTTGCTTATTAAGTCTGCAATTAGCTTTTGTTTTAAGGATTAGAGACCCCGGTGGGTACTTACCTGGCCGTGCTCATGATTCCACTACATTCGCATCGCATCGCATCGCATCGCAACGCAACGCAACGAAGAGAAAACTGAACTATATTCTATTCATCGCCGACTTTACTCCGGGGAAATTGTGCGAGTCACACACACACACACACTAGCTCACATAATCTGCATTGGCACTCCATCTATTCAAAGGTAGTGGTAGTTGGGATCAGGAAAAGGCAGAAGTTTTTCGTACCCATTACTCTAGGGTATTCACCCCACACATTGAGCGAGTTTTGTTTTTAAATTGAGGGAATGAAATTATAGAAGTTCTAATTGGCTTGCAGCGTTAAGGTTGCAAACTCAGAATATTAAAGGGAGATTCCCCTTCAGCACGAAAACAATATTTTACTTTTTTTCAAAGCATTTTTGTTTATTTCTAACTGTTTTTGGAAACTGTGGGGTAAAGGATATTAATTCTGTCCTTTTTCATTTTTTTAAATATTTTTTTTTGATTTTTGCTGTAGGTGGAACGGTGAGGTAAACTTTATTTGATATAGTTTTTTGTTTGTTTTTGAAAGTGCTAAAAATTACTTATTGTTAGTAAGCTAATAATCAGGTTATAATAATAATACTAGCAGAGGTGCCAGGCATGAAAATTAAGTTGGGACTTAATTTCTGGTTTCTCTTTTAACTTTTACTTTTTTAAAACTCACCAGTTAGGAAGACCATTCCATAAGCTAATATTTATCGAAGCAGGAATTGATTGAAACAACTCAAAGGCGGAATTTCTAAAGGGAGGAAACCTTTTTTCAAGCGCTTACTGGGCATCCTTTAGACGAGACCCTGGACCAAAAAGGTTCAGTGTGATTCTTGTTAAAACCGCTGGGACTTGATAGTGCACAGTTATGACAGCAAATCAAACACTCTCCAGGGGCAGAAGTGGAGCTGAACTGATTGCGAGCTACCCAGTAAACATAGCCAAAGCTATTGTCTTTGCTTCGATCCGCTGCGTTCCCTCCAAACGCATTCTTGATTTGGCCGACCAATTATGAAAGATAAATCTGCAATACGGCAGGTAGAATCAATTATAAGCCGGCAAGCAAAACATATGGTGTGAAGAACAATAGACGGCTTAAATGGAATTCGGACTGTATGACTATGGCTATCTCATTGTGCCACTATGAAGAGCAAGACGCTTTTCAAATTTAACCCATCCCATGGAAAGATTACGTACGCACCAGGTGGCTGCGGGTGAATGAAGGAGATTGCGGGTCGGAAAGGCGGACAGCAAGTCAGGTGGCGACAAATCGAAAGGATCCCTGTCCCTTGGGTCCGGAACTGGCAGTTGATTCCTTAAGCACACCCACTCACGCTCATATGCAAATGGCGCTTAGCCGAATGAAATTGTCAGGCTAAAGCACAATGGGACCAATCCGCACTTTTTCAGAATAAAAACCATTTATGAAAAGCCTTGAAAATAGGGTGCTTTTTTCCACAACTCTTAAGTTATCAGCTCAGTAAGATAGCTCTTACACCAAGTGTTGTTAAGCGAATAATAATTTGATCATTTATAAGAACAGTCCAGCTCATACTCATATAAGTAAGTAATTTTGCATGCCCAATAGTTTAAATTCATCTAAGAATAGTTAAGTTTCTATGACAATTTTTTATAAGATTTTTCAAAATGTTGCTATTTTGGCTTTATATTTACAATTAAAAAAAAAATACAAAATCCAAAATCGTTAAAAGGGAAGTTTGGAATAAATGCCACAAAAATGTTTTGATTTTGCCCATGGTTTAAGACAGGTGCCCTTTCCCCCGATGCAATCCCTGAAATGCTGTGACATCAGAAGGGTGGAGAGGGGGGGAGGGAGGGGTTGTCAAAGTGAAAGGCTGGCAAAAGACGCAGTTAAAGTGAAAATTGTGTTTATACACTTTATGGGCTTTATTCCACCTCACACCTTTGCCCAACTGACGGGCTTTGCAGCTCGGCAGCTTTTTATTGTGCCCCGAAGGCCTTTTCGCCCTTATATGTGCGCCGCACACAGCTCAACACACCTTCTTTGGAGGCGGTTCTTCATTTTTATTTCACCCGGTTCCTTTGGCATTCGTAGGGCCTACTCCGCCCCTTTTGAAAGCCATGCTGTATTTAACGAGAAATGGAGCACACAAAAGTGTGCTACAGTTTACATTGTGACGGGTTATGCCTAATCCGTCCCAAACCCCCCGCCCCCCCCCTCGTTTATCCATTTTGGCGTATCTACACGAGCACTTAGCAGGAACCAACATTACGTTTCGATCACAGTGTTCTCTCATTGTGGTTCAGTGTTGGAAAAGGTTATAGTATTTTTTACCTAGGTAATGTCAGGTAAATTAAGTGTTGGAAAAGGTTATAGTATTGTATGCCTAGGTTCCCAGCATTTTGGTATGTAAAAAAAAAACAAGGTAAAATTCATTATATCTCAAATATATAGAAATTTAATTGAAACAAGAACGGCAAGCTGAAGTCAATTAACCCCTGCAATTATTATAAAAATTAAATATTCCTTTTTGTTTCGGACCAAAGCTCACGAAATAAAACTGAAATGCCCAAGTCACATAATCATTTCAATAATTTAGAATAAGGACCATCACTTAAGATTATTATCTAGGTTAGTTTAATGATTTACTTGTTAGCCTAGGTAAATTACTCACAAATATCTTGAGTTGAGTTTTAACCAAATATAATGTTCATCATGCAATGGACTAACCTGGCGAATGAATTTCTGGCTGAGTGGCTTCGGTATCATGGCGAATCGGCATTTAATTACGTATACGAGACGGATATTACGCATACGAGATGGGGACAGACTGCGTCGCATCCAAACACAACAGAATCGAGCTTCGAGACTAATGCAAAATGCATGGCACAACTCAATTCTGAACAGAAGACAAACGGCTCGGTTCGAGGGGACCGGCTCAATTCAGACTCAGACTCAGACTCAGTTGAGGCATTGGAAAATGTTTTATGGTGCCGCCTGTCAAATGTTATTGTTTATTTTTATGGTACCCCCATTATTTTCCCAGCGCATTGTTCATTGATGAATAGACGACGTTGCCCATGGAACAGACAGAACAGGTTCCAATACAGTCAGCGGCAGAAACAAGTTATGACATGTGTGTGCACATCGAATCAACTTGTCTGTGAGCGTAAATAACGATCCGCAAAGGACGAATCGCAGGTGACTTTAATACCGGACTGAGGACAAGGACATCCGCATTTCTGAGTGCCTTAAATGACTTCAAAAGTTTTCTCTAAAATGCCGCTCTCTAACACTCAAAAATGACCATACCCTTGAGCTGTACGTTTGCTGTTTCACATAATATGTTACATATTACTTCGGCTGTCGAAATAAGTCTTTGTTGTGCATCTAAATTTGAAATAACACAAGTCTAATATCCCGTTAAGAAAACATTTACTTGTTTTAAATAAAATTCCCACCACATTTGCTTGACAAACACAAAATCTTAATTTGAGCTCTGTTTTCCTGATTTGTTTTAATATTATTCAAACTCTTATTTATTTAAAACTTTTAGGCAGTTTCTCTCCGTGGAGCTAAGCTTTCCGAAGGCTACAGAGAGAAAAAGTCAGAGAAAAGGTCAAGGCATTCAAAACGAAGCCAATCAAAGAGCCAACTGAAGCACATTACCATTTGGGATAATCGGCTGTTGCGTAAAAGAGGCGAATATTTGATTGATTGACTGCTGCCATTGCGTCTACATCGAAAAGAAATGTGGATCCTGTAGGGCTTTTAAAAATTAAAAATCAATCAAATTTAAAAAAATACATTTCTTTTTGAGTGTGTATTTTGATTTAGCACTGTCCAAGGTAAAATGTTTTTACTTGGAAACTAATGAACATCTGCTCTGCATAATTTAAATAGTCTGTGGCACTTCCTGTTTTGTCAAATTCGTGTTCAAAAATTGCTCGGAATTAATAATGTCAACTGGTTTTGTTGCCTTGCCTCAAAGGAAGTGGTGCTCGTGTCCTTTCTGGCCATTGGGTCCCCCCTTGGGTCCCATTGGCTCCTTGTTCATTTGTGACAAGTTTCTGCCAGCTTTTATGCTTTTATGCAATCGCATAATTCGATTCGATTTGATGGCCCTTCCCAGGCACCTCCACTCCACTTCACTTCACTCCCCTCCACTGCCATTTTCACATTTCTTGTGGGCAAAACCTCTCGGCCCTCCTGCCCATTTATTTTATTTCATCGTGCACTTTGCGCCTTATTAAATATGTACATTTCTGTGTGTGTGCGATGATTCTGAATGCCGAGATTGCTTTGTACTTTTTGTTTTTCTTTTCTTAGCAACCACCAAGTAACCACCCCACGAATGTAGCAAGTTACCTTCGGTGCTTTGGTGCTTGGGTGCCTGGGTCCTTGGGTCCTTGGTTCGGGTAACTTGGACATCTGCTCTCCGATTTCCAGCAATAAGTTCGCCAAAAAGTCCTTTGGCCCCCCAGCCAATTGAAAGTGCCGCAGTCGTCGCACAAAGGAAATAGCCGACTTGGATGATCGAGGACTCGCGAGTGCCGTTTAAATTCTATATGGAATTTAAAACTGCGAATCAAATGAGCCGATGGATGATTTTGAGTGCTCATTTTGATGGCTGGATGCGGGAAAAATGGGTGAATTTCATGAGTTCTTGGACACGTTAAATCAAAATGGACCCCAATCGAGTTGATTTCACCAACCGAATCGAGAAACCGTAACCAATTAATATTCATTCATTATTCGAACCTAAACAAAAGCGGAAAATACAAATTACGATGAAATGATTCATGAGTTATCGAATACGAATTAAATCAAAATACCTCCTATAAATATATACAGTCGAGTTCGAGCTGCCATTAACAATTAATATTCATTCACTATTTATCCACAAGCAAAGGGGAAAATATAAATTGTGATGGATGCGGCAGAATTAATGAGTTTTTGGAGTTCTTGAATAGGTAAAATCAAAACCAGCACCTGTAAAAAGTACGACGAATTTAATAAATCGATTCGAAATATCGAAAACAATTAGTAATAAAACATTATTTCGATGGACGAGAATTGGAAGAATTTCATGAGTTTTTGAATATCTAATTTTGATTTACCATTTATCCAAGCTGATATTGAAAGGAATTTCAATTAATTTAAATATCGATTAGGTATTGTAGTTATTCAATATTAATTCATTACATATTTACGAAAAAATAGGGGAAATATAAACTAAATAAGTTACATTTTTAGAAAAATTTTCCTATTAAGGTGAATTTAGTTGTTTATATAGGTATTGTCACATTTATAACTACTTAATGTTTAACTAAAGCTAACAACAATTAACAATTCGAAAAACTTCCATAATTCTTCTAAATTAACATGTTTTGTTCGCTTGGTTTTTATCATTGCGGCTTCTTTAAATGGTGACATTTGTTTTTTGGTCGCATATGCGTACCAAAAAACAAAATGAGGGCTAAATTGCACAAAACAAACAGAGAAAGCTGGAAATCGGATATATATTAGCTAATATTGACGCTGATGAGATGCCAATAAGTGGAGCCAGGCCTGGGTTTAATTTATTATTTTTCCTATTTACCGATTTTTTTTTTCGTTTTTTTGCCACTTCAGCATGGCCATTCCTAGACGACCACTTGAATGGGCTGTAATTGAGTGCATTATCCTAGATTGGCTGGGCGGTTGGGCCAAAGACATTTTGGCCGCAGCCGTCGCTTTAGCTTGTCCAAAAACAAACAAGGCCCAAGACGATAAAATATGCGTTTTATATGGGTGACTCTTAAATACTCTTTTCGTAAATAGTTATTTTTTCTCAAATCTCCAATATTCAGGGAAATGTTTCCAAAGGCTTTTACTTGCCAAATATTTTATTTTAACCGATTTGCTTATTGGCTAACATTAATTTCACTGTGGCAAAAAAGCAGTTATTAACATTTTTATTACATATGTACATATTTTAAACAAATTGTTGAACGGTGATGCACTATAAGTACAAACTAAAACTAATTTCGTTGCAAATATGTTAAAATTGTAGTTTTTAACGAATAGCGGTTGAAAAACAAATTTGATTATATATTTTATTATGACTATTACGTAGAACCAGAAAGGGTTTATGCAAAATGAGGCAATGTTTTTGATATACTACTTAACAAATAATAATAACTTAATTAATACATCTCTTTAAATAAAAAAAGGAACGTAATATTTCTTAGAACTATTTCAAGATAATTTAGAGAAATCGGAGTTAAGCAAAGTTAAAAGGAATGTCTCAGGGAAGAGTGTTCCTCCCTTTGGAAGTGGAACCACTCTGGACCACTCTGCCACTCCATTTTCCCTTTGGATCTGCCATTTGATTGCCATTGCCAGCACCTACGCCTTCTCACATAACCCACACCCCCTAACACCCTATTCTCCCGGCGATTTCCCCCTGCATCATGATTTCTGATTTTGTATTCTTTTTTGTATTTTTTCCGGGACTACGCCCGCAGGTGTGCGCCATCCAGCACGTGGACGTGTGCATGTTCAACAACGGCAAGTTCAAGAACGTGGTGGCCGACTCGGACAACTTGATGCCGGCCACGGACCGCACGGTGGCCGCCGGAGCCTCGCTGAACACCACGGTGGTGCTGCGTCCGCAGCGCGGTCCCACCAAGAACTGGATCGCCTTGGAGGACACCTTGCAGCGCAGTACGGAGCCGGAGGAGATTACCGGCGCCATTGCCGCCTCGGCCATCCGATCGCCGCACTTCGTCATGCAGAATGCCCAGCTGCTGGGCCAAGGCGGCCATCAACTGGGCAGTCCCGCCCAGATCACGCCCCATCCGCACCTGTGGCAGCCGGGATCGGGTGCGGGAGTGGGAGCGGGATCAGGCTCCTGCTCGTGCTCGGCATCGGGATTGGGAGGCCAGGGATCAGGATTGGGAGGCCAGGGATCGGGATCGGTATTGGGAGGCCAGGGGCAGTGCGGCGTCAATGGCCACAACAATGCCACCGGCGAGGAGCGCAACGTGTTCGCCATCTACGTGTCCTACTACGTCAAGGTGAAGCTTACCCTCAGCGGCATGGGCGGCGAGCTGTCCTTGAAGCTGCCCTTCGTCCTAGTCCATGTGGACGAAACCCAGCGACCGGGATTCGCCTCGGCCACGCTGGGCGAGCTGCGGCTGGAAATGGAGCGTCTGGCCCTCCAGGATGCACCGGTGGGCAAGCGGACTGGACGGCGAGTGGCGCGAGAGATCGGAGATGGACCATCCACCAGTGCCGCTGCTGCTGCCGCTGCCGCCGCTGCTGCTGCTGCTGCTGCTGACTCCCAGTCCGCCGGAGGGCAACAGTCGTCCAACCAGCTGGACATGATCGAGAGCCTGGACGACGAGTTCAACATCCGGGTGCCGGTGCCGAGGAATGGCTCCCACAAGCGGCGGTTGCAGCGCAGCGAGACTTTGGCCCGTGACCTCGAGGAGCAGGAGGAGCAGCTGCCCCTTCGGGAGCAGGAGGAGCACATTGTCCAGATCCATCTGGAGCAAGTATCGCCCGACCGGGATGAAGTGCCGCAGCAGGGGGCGGATAGCCACGCCCCGGGAGCCGAGACCGGGGCAGTGCCCAAGCCGTCGAGTGTGTGATTCTGATTGTGGTCCCAGATGTTTGCCAAACGCAAGCGAAAGCCATAGTAGAAGTTGCTTAAACATAAAAAAGAGAGCCATTGGGTTTCAGGTTCAATTGCTAACTTATTTTATACAAAGCCACACACTGGCAAAACACTGGTAAAAAAAACCTAGTAGGTGCAAGTATTTCATACTCGGCTTAAAAATATTAAAATTGAAAATTTTCATTTTATTTTAATATTTCATTAAACTCTTTTCGAAAAAGATTTTAATATTTGAAAGTTTTCTTTTAATTGAACCCATACTAAAATTACATGTAACACATTTTATATCTACTTTTTTGCATATTAAACCAAATATTTAATATTAAATCATGCAATTTTATATGCATTGTATTTAATATTCTGATTTTATATTTCATTTAACCAAGAAAGTTATTTTTACCTTTTAATTTGTTTACCAGTTTATAACTTAAGATATGTTTGTTTTATGAGTAATTTTGGTAATTTTTTATATAATTAAGTTTTTTGGCTGCTATGGCATGCTAATCAATAAATATTTTTGTTGTCTGTTTGTAACAAAATTAGTTTTAATTTAACAAAATTAATTACCATTTTTAAGAGGCTATTCAATTGAATATAATATTAAAAATTTCAAAATTAAAAAAATTATCACATGAATTTATTCTGATTAAAAATGACTTGAAAACCCATAAATTTTAATTCAAAAAGTGTTTCCACTTCAACATAATTGAATTGATAGACTTGTTGTGTATTATTAAATTTATTACTAATTTAAAGAAGCTGAAAAACTAACTAATTGAATAACTCGAAACGGATTTCCCAAAAGGGGTAAAACAAACGGTTTTCAGCTAGAGTTACTATTTACATTTCTGGCTCAACAAAGGTAAATAGAAGATTCACATTATATTCAAAAATTTCAATCCCAATGAGCTGTCAGAAATGCAGGTAGAAGCAAACCCCATTGTAAATGTAACCAAAAACCATTCAGTTTAGGTTTCAGAAGGCGAACGTGAGCAGTTAGAAGATAGAAGTTTGGAGAGAGATTATACTTACCAGTTGAAGGTTTCCAGAAGTGGAGGGCAGCCCGAAAGCATATGTTGCAAAATCATTCGAGAATTAGTGGGCAGAGGTATTCCCTAGGAATTAGACAATGAATTGAGGTGAAATTTTTGCAGTTCGATTTAAGTCGAAGTGGACGAGAGCGGCAAGTGGAAGTGAAACGTTAAGGCAGCGATAGACTAAGTTAGCAATGCTAAGATTTATCATTTGATATTAGCCATGCAATGCGTTGAAATTGATGATATTTTGAGTGGATTCTCGGGATGTTCCAGCTTGAATGGGTAAGACATAAATGAAGTCGCTTGGTCCCATGGAAAATCCAATGGAGAAGAAATCAACCAGAGAAACACAGTCACCTAAATATGTACCTAGATCGTAAGTGAGTGGGGTTCAAATGAAATCCGTATAAATGTACAACTGCACATCAATGCCAACAATTGAAAAGCCCTTTTAAATCGCACAGATGTCACCACTAGGGTTTTTCGAAACTGTATTACCTAATTAATCACACACATTTGCATATATTTACCGAATATTAAATGTTTGATGTGAAATACATTACAACAAACTATTAGGGCGTAAATCTCGTTGCGGTTTCAAGCTCACGAAAAGTTTTACAAAATTGAAATCTAAAACCAACCAAACAAAGAACCCAGACACCCACTCAAAGTTCAGAAGAACCCCAACACATATCTGTGAGTTATTTGGCTTTTGTTGCCAACGTCAATGGATTATTGTTGCTAAATGTTGAATCAAATAAACCTATGGTCAAATTAGGTAAATTAGGCAGAACGAAAATGCGAGCATCGGTTAATAGTTAAAGATCCACAAGGGATCAACGCTATGGCTATAGTTTTTTAAATCTTATTGAGCCACCACAAGGTGGGCACTTGTATCATCTAAAGCTGATGATGATACCCAAAGAGTTTTGAAAGAATCGTGGAAATATTCTAGTCTTGAGATGTAATATGCATACTTAAAACCACCAAGAAAAGTAAATCTATGATATCGAAGGTTTTTAATGTTAGCTGTACGAAAATCCCTATGAATTTGTTTATTACAAAACAAAACAAAAAATGAGAATGCAAATGCAACGGCTAATGCTAATGAAAACTGAAAACAAGTATTAATATATTTATGTGTATATGTGTCTAGAGTTAATGTGCAACATTGAACACACTGAATAAAGATGAATTTATGAATGTAATCGCTATGCTCGGCTTATGCCATCTGTGTGCAGATCAATATGCTGATTGATATATAGACATTCGAATATGCATACAGACATGTGGATTATATGATATATTATATATTTCGATGTATGTTGCTTTGACAAGCCAAGCTACTATTTGAATTTCGATAACACAACACTAACGCAAAGGCGCAAAAAAATAAACTTAAATGTGATGCATTTCTATGAATACACTAAAGAAAATAAATAACCCCATATACAATCATATAATATATGTATACACTGTATCGATGGCTATTTAATTGTAAGACTTAATCCGATCCGATCCGATCCGATCCGATCTGATCCGATCTCCATTCGCATTCTATTTACTTTAAGAGCTGGTCTCGAATCGCAGACAGGATAGCGAAAGCATTTCTGTTTCCCCTCCCTTACTTTCCCTTCCTATGCTTTCTATTTTGTTGTCCTTTCTGTCCCCAGACCTCCAGATAGCAAAGCCAATTGATTGATGATGAATCTTGGTGTCGGTGGCGATTTCTGGGGGCAGACAGACCGCACTTGAACCCCCGAGAATATAATGAAATAAATGTTAAACATAAAATATCACAAAATCTCGCTTGTTTTCACACCCAGCATGGCTGTGTGGTATTTTTTGAGGGGCTTGTCGATTAAGGACGGCGGTTGGCAGATGGACTCCCCAGCAGGAGTTCCAAATTATTTGGCTGGCCGAGCCAACCAGCCATTAAGCGCACTAGTTGGCTAACATGGCTTGGCCTTCTGGCAATCAGCATGGAGCTGTCCCAGCGCCTTTCCACGTCTTTCCCAGCTGGAAAGACATCAGAAGCCCATCAGTTAGCCAGATTCCTTTGCATCTGGCCATGTTAACTAACATGGAACGAAGCTGTTAGCTCGAAGAGCTTTTCGGAGTAATAAGTTTGGTTAAGCTTTTTTTGTTGGCAAGGAGTTACAGAACCAAAGCTTAAGAACTTTTTTCAAACTTTGGTAGTGATAATTGGTAAGGTAAATCACAAAATCTAAGCTTTAGAAAGCAACTGCTCTATTATACAGCTTTTTAAATAAATGTACAAAAATAATTAGTTTATCATTAATGGCTCGTCATTTTGTTGTATTTATCCAACTTTATTTAAAAGCTAAGCAAATCGTTGTATATGAACTTCGGTTTGCAGAAGTTTGCTTCCTTTCTTGTTTTAAATTATATATATTTTTTTTTCGTTATATATTTAGCACAAGCGATTATAATTTAAATACAAATAAGAAGGAACGACTATGAGACACTTGTTACTCTGTTAACCAATTTCAAAACAAATATTCGCGCTTCGCACCCTAAAGTCGAAAGCTCCATCTGTTGTGGAAAACATACATAAGGACATATTTGATATACGATATTCCCTATTATTTAGTTCTCTATATGGCTTAAAATTCTGAAGAAATATTAGATTTAAATTTAGAGATTTAGTCGTTAAGGGAATCCTCAAAATATATAATTTTTAATTAAATCGTTTTTAATGCGTGCAAAAAAACAAAGAGGTTAGTCGTATGGAAGCTATATTATGTAGGCGTTCGATCCGTTAAAAAGATGAGATGATAACTATAAATATTTGAAATGAATCCAAAGCCTGTAAGACCAATAAATAACTTGTTAAACACCAAACGCTTTGTTTTCATAAAGTTTTAATTAATTTTTATTTGATTTTTAATAATAAATATATTTATCTGGTTTACGTTTTGTGTTTTCGTATTGCTTTATCTCTCTCTATATTTTTCGCATGGTTTTGTTTTCCCACTTTAGTACATCGTATATTTTGTTATTTTTATTTATTTATTTATATATATATATACATATACATATAAATCCTCGTATGTTTGCATGTGTGTGTGTATTTATGTGAAAACCTGTATGCGAATGCAGCTCACACCTCCACACACACAGGAAACTGATGCTGATAATTGGGTGATGCGTTTTCTAATGATCGGAAATAACAACAAATTGGAGGGTGAGAAAACAACAGCTCAAAGCTAAAAAGCTAAATCGCTCCACAGTTCCCATATTTATTTGTTTCATGCTTCTCTTGTTTGGTTTACTTCTAATGCAATAATTGACTTGTTTGCCACCCGAGTCCTATTTCGATGCATATAAATTTAAAAGCACAGTGTACAGTAAACATCAAACAATTCTAATTTCATTAAATCATAGAAAGTGTATTTTACTTTAAAATGTCCTGCTCAAATAAGTTGAAACCGTTTATAGAAATTAACAAAAGTATATTTACACTTTTGGCAAAAAACATTTTACTATTTTTAAATCAATTTAAATTCTTTTTTAATTAACCTTCACGGTCATTCCATAAATTGTCCATATAAACATGTTACTTATTGAAAATTAATGTTTATAGAATAGAATAAGGTTAGCAATACTCTATTAGATTAGCTGTGGTTACTTTAATTGTTACAAAATAAACGCAGTACTCGCCCTTCTAATTAGCTGTCATTAGCTGTATTTGTATATGTATATGATCTGTATATAACCATTTGTTAGTTTACACGTTCGTTATCGTTTGTGAATTTTTTATTTTGGGAGGCAAAAAAGGCACTATAATCTAATAAGTTACGACGATGAAAAAATTAGTTTCCTCTTTCGTTCCTTCTGTATATACTTATATATTTTCATACGTTTACTCATTCACTTATTCGGCTTTCTACATTCGTTATCCGATTCTTATTTATAAATTAAATATGCACAAAAATTGGTGTTTCAAGTACTCGAAGTAATGCTTTCAAAATTCGTTAAATTAAATATTTTGTATTTTGTATTTATTATTTTCGTTTTGTGTGTGAGGCAAGTTAAAGTTAGGTTGGTTTTCTCTAGGTAAAGTTTAGGCATTGAAAAACAAGCCCCAATTGTTAAATGCCCATTAACAGGTTAACAGTATTTTGCCACTTAAACTGAGTATAATGACAAAAATTAGTTGTTAGAGTTTAATTGTTTTGCATTTTATAAATGTAGTGTAAGCAATAAATTAATTAAACAATGACAAAAAGAACATATATATTTATATTTATAGATAAATAATAAATAAAATACACACACAGAGTTTAACTGTTTTAAGCTTAATACATATGTTTTTGTTTTGTTTCGTTTCGTTTCTTCTATTTTATCATTTGCTTTCTTGTTTTTTGATTTTCCTTAAGATTTTGTTAGACAAATTTGTAATGCGCACTTAGTTGATAGGAGGAGAACCAAAAATCGAACAACAGCTTCGAATTTTGTAAGCTCGGCGCACGGCCAAAAAGTAAAAGTAAAAGTAAAGGTAAATTGATAGCTAGTCCATGCGGTTTGTCCCACTGTGCCAACCCCAAAGAAGCCGCACAGTGGGCAGATACTTTTGCTTTTGCTTTCCTTTTGTTGTTTGTTGTTTTTTGTTTTTTGTTGTCGGTTTTAGGTTTGATTTCGCGTCTCTCTTGTAGTTATGAATATATAAGTATATTGTATATAGTTTACATTAATAAGCCTATATATAAATTCATTGCTTAACATCGCTGTACTTTTTTTAATTTATTTATTTATCTGCACGTTTCGGGGATGATTTGGAGGAAGGGAGAGTTATCATAATTGCCACTCAACAGATAATCTTCAAATGCAGGAATCAACGAGCAATGTGTTTACAGATAGTGACGGATACACATTAATGTTTATCTTCATACACTTCGATTTAGCTGGATTCGTTATCGTTAGCTCACACATTTAATTTATCATCTGCCCTACTGCCTACTGCCGCGCTCATTCTCTAACCCTTTATATTTATATGTATATATATGTGTGTATCTATGTAAAAGTTTATTTCTGTTGTTGTTTGTTGAACCTTTAAGGAAATGGAAGCGGATGGATATATTATTTCTTCTTGTTGGTCGCCAGCATTGGGGCGCTGCGCTGCGGTGTTGTCGGTCGCGACGAGTTCATGCCGCTGTACAGATACTTGGCCTTCTTCTCGGATGGTTTCAGGATCTGCAAGAGATGGGCGCCTTAAGCACATTTCACTGGACAGTGTGTGGGGGGTTGGGCATCTCACCTGGAATGAGCACATGAGCGTGTCGTCCACGGTCATCATGCCGCCGGCGTTGTCGAATTCCCCACAGTAGTTTGGCGCCGAGAACAATGTGACCAGTTGGCGACGCGCAAAGAACTCGTAACCATCCTCCACAACCTGTGAAAAGTACAAATCATTCGAAAATTAGGGTCATCTTTAAACAATTTCGTTTCGGAAAATCAACCAGTCTGAGTCCACCGAAATTCTTGTTATACTTGTTTTATACTCTTAAGATTTTTTTGCAGCCCAAATGCCATTTGCCATTCCTTTAATTTTTATCCCTTGTCAACTGTTTCCTTATCCTTATTATTTATTCAAGTTAAATAAGATAAAAAAAAAATAACTTTACAATTTTAAGTGCTATTTAATTGCGAGTTAAATGCGAGATTCTACATTTTTATATTTTAAAACAATTTACGAGTTTTTTTTTTATTTAATGAGCTAATACAAATCTTCCAATTATACAGTTTTTCAATTCTTTTTACTGCAAAGGCTAGCTTTTTAATTGAAATATTAAAAAACTGTGTATTGGATTTTAAATTTTTAAATGAACTAGGCAGTACAAATCAAATCAAATTGCATTTGTTTAAATTTTAGAGCGAGTTTCCATGTTTCTGCTTAGACTCATTTGACCCACCTGATGCGCACGGCAGATCAAGTCCAGCTCGTGCCGGTTCAAGAACTTCGAGACCACGTCCACGCCGAAGGTGAAGCTCACCCCGCGGTCGTTCTCGCCCCAGCCCTGGACGTCCTTGTCGGGATCGCTCCACAGCAGGTCGCACAGCAGCCCGGTGTCCGGCACATCCGTGGGCCGCATCAGCCGCCGGATCTGCTCCATGCCCTGAAGATCGGGACTGAGGCCGCCGTGGCAGCAGAAGATCTTCTCGTCAATGATCGCGGCCACAGGAAGACAGTTGAAGCAATCCGTGAAGGTCTTCCATAGTTTGACGTTGTATCGGCGCTTGCACTCATCGTAGAAGCCTGCAAATAGGATACTATATCAGTATTGGAACAATGGGTTCTGTTGGTAACTTGGATACCTTTTTGTTTTTTGAAATGATAAGTGTCCCGAAAAGTTATTCCATCACAAAAAGAATATATAACAATTTAAATTTGATTTATTTATTGGTAGACTGGAGTATTATTTATTATAAAAAAAAAATTAAATCCTTTTTAGTTTATAATAGTAAAACAATGATGAAACAAACAACCGCGAATTCTTTAGAAATTCCTAAAGAATTCGCGCATTTATTAAAACCAAAATTGTGCAAAAAGGTCTCACATTTTAGTTTCGAACTTACCGTAAATCCTGTTAATACTGGCGCACTCGTGATTGCCACGCAGCAAGAAGAAATTCTCCGGATATTTGATCTTGTAGGCCAGCAGCAGGCAGATGGTCTCCAGCGACTGCTTGCCCCGATCGACGTAGTCGCCAAGGAACAAGTAGTTGGCGGCCGGCGGGAAGCCGCCGTACTCGAATAGCCGCAACAGGTCTGTGTACTGGCCGTGGATGTCGCCGCAGATGATCAGCGGGGCCTCCAGCTCCAGCAGGATGGGCTGTTGCAAGAAGATCTCGCGCGACTTGAGGCACAAGCCACGCACCTCCGCCTCGGTCATCTGCACCTGTTTGCCCGTTCGGCAGCTGCGCACTGCAAGTGGACGTCGTGTTAGTGGACTCCACAGCTGAATGGATGTGGCAAATACATATGGCAACTAAAGAGCTTAGCCTACGTTTGACGTTCTAGCAAAACGGACCGATTCGTGGACGAAGAACGGTGGACGGTGGACAGACTAGCACGAACTATTGACGCAGACGCGAGGAGGAGACGAAACCACACAAATGGAGAATCAAGAGGAGGAGGAGGAGGAGGGTTCGGTTGGGTTTGGTTTGGTTTGGCGGGTCAAAACAATGCCACACGAAATGTTTGCATACTTTGTGGCGCTAGCGAAACTGCGTGCAGGCTATTATGAATTCTTTTTGCGCATATGCAGTTGCGCTCAAAACAATAGAAGCGGTGCGTATATATTTTCAATTTAGGTTTGTCAAAAGGTTCAACAAAGCAAAAAGCAATTAAATAAAAAATTTGGCATTCAATTGTATTGGGCCAAAATACAAATGGCTTTCAAAGAATCACAATAAGAAATTGGTTTTACTAAATCTGGCTGGGGAAACAAAAAGCATTATGGAAAGAATTGCATAAAATGGGTAACATGGGGTTTGCCAAAAAATATATTTCTTAATTTTTTTATAATTCCTAAAGCATACTCCAACAATTTCGGGCTTTGCAAGTTGTGTCCTTTATGTCATTGCATTTTTCTTAAAACTACTTGTTTGAAACCAGTCGATACTCTAACTCAGAAAGTTATAATTAATTAAAGTTATAATTAACATCACAATTATGAAGCCCACTTTTCCTTTGTGTTTTCAAAAAATAGGATCTATGCAGCGGAATTTTCAATATGTTTACATATTTCCTTACAATACTACCAACCTGCAACTACGACATACCAAATTGCTTAACCAAAAATTTAGTTGGTTTTAAAAAACAAAACAATGTCGAAAATATCTTGATTTTGGAAGGTGAAATCTCTTAAATAATTTCTTAATATTTAGGAACTATGATCTTTAAGATGAGCTCAACTTTTTTAAACAATTTTATCTGTGAATGCTTTTCAAGACTCAAGCCTGATCAAGTCTAAGGTCTGAAAACATAAATGTTATCATTCTCCAAATGCTATTTTTGTGGCCGCAGTCGTAGGTGTTTTACAATGGCGCAAGTTGAAACAGTGTGCCCCAACTTCCTGTTCTTGGGAATAATTGCAGGTTGTCATTACTAGAAGACCATGTCTCGAAGCCTTGGCCAACAAGTGGGCGTAGTCCCGCTGCCATATCGCCCCAACACCCCAAAACCACCACCCTCCACACCCACTATGTTGCAATTAATTTTGTGTGAAAAACGCTCTCCAGCCAGGGAAACGATGATAGTGCTATCCTTTATCCAGGGAATACAAGTAGGTCGTCCTCTGTCAGTGTCAGAGTGTGTGCGCGTGCACAAAAAATTTAATTAAATTTGGATAGAGCAAAATGCTGGGCCAGCGTTTGGCTCGAAAAACAGACAAGCCCAATCCCCATTCGTCCTTGCCTCGGAAGTTGTGAGCCAACTCTGGATCTGGATTTGGGTCGAGAGCAGGGGTTGCCCCAAAAACAATGGAGCACCATGTGGCCCAGTGAAGGGTATGCGGGTGTGGCAGTGGAAATGGGATTGGGATTGGGATTGGGATTGGGTTGGAAATGGAAATGGGAGTGGGCTTGGCCAAGTGGGTAGCTGGTCGCTTGTGGAACCGGCAACTGAAACTGACAAGCACACAAAGCCAATTCCCAAAACGTCAGCAATGCACTTTGCCGCAGCTGTGATTTCAGTAATGGTTAATTAAAGTAATCGCACATCGATATGGAAAGAGTGTCGGGGATTGTCTTTAATTTATTGCAGAAATGAGGAATGGATTTTAGCAGGCAAATTAAATTACTTTAAAAACATACATTTATAATTATTGTTCCACAATAAAAAGATTTTTGAAAGCTGTCTTAAAACAATAACGATATTTATATTATAGTTGTTAAACATCTGGTTTTAATTGCAAATATTAAACTGCATAAGTTGCATTTTCAGCTGTTAATACCTAGTTTAACGTAATAGCTGTAACCTATCAGATGCATAAAACCATTTTATTAAATTGTTTTCGTTCGTTATAATAAGTGTTAGATTACGTGATGAGGTTTTAGCCATTGGCAATGTAATGCAATCGCTGATAGCAGCAATTCACACATCAACACAAAACTGATAGCCAAAAGTGCTTGGGATTTAGATTAAGAATTAATAATACCGACTGTGAACGTGTCATAGTTGCATTCGTTCTTTTAAAATTGATACAATAACTTCAAAAAATATATAATGTTATATATATTTCAGATTTATTGCATAATTTAAAGACGAATTAACGAGAAGTAGATATTTAATCAAAAATTCAAATAAAGTTTGATGATATTATAATTACGGGGAAAAGTTTCAAGTTTAAAGAAGACATTTTTGGCCTTAAAAAATAAATATATATTTAATCAGAATCAACAGCTCTTAGGTTTTTGTAAGTTTTTGTTTTGAATTGAAATTCAATACTCTCAGTCCCAATCTATTTCAATTGTATTCCGTACCTATCAAACGCAGTCTTAAGATCACAGATTATTGTTTGCTTTCTCCGGAAGCCGTAAGTTTATTTAATGAAAACCGGAGCAAAGTTCTTCTGCGAACTTTTTGCACTCTGCTGCTGCAGCATGTGCTTAGTGTCAGCATTTTAGCATCGGCATGGACCCTGGGTGGAGTGGATGTGGTTGTGCAGCCGACGGAGGAGGAGTTAAATGCACTAAATTATGCAAGCCATGGGTTCATGCACTCGGAGAAGTGGAATCCGTTTAAGTTATGCAAGACTCCTTCCTGGCATGTCTGTGCCAAAGCTGTTGCATACTTTCAGGCACTGCGTTATGCAATCGCTGACCCAAACTTAATCACAGAAATACTTCCGGCGTGCATGAATTATTCGGCTTAAAAAAGGATACGCCCATTATAAAACTATATTTTACTAACAGTATCAAAACAAAAAATTAATTTGGTAAAATTTTCAGTTTACTATCACATTTCCAAATCTAATTAGATTAATAAAATATATAATAGTTTTAATAAAAATGGGTTCTAGCAAAACTAACTGCACATTTTGTCGATACTTTCAGTTCTTTTGTTATATTGTTGTATAAAATACAATATAAAAGTTTTCCTTAACAACTTTTATGTAATTTAATGTATTGTTTTGGGACAGAGACATTGAAAAATTGATTTGGCCGCATGGAATTCTGTGACCCAGCTGGTGATCACAGCTGTCATTTATGCTTCATATCTGTGCTGCTTTAAGCTCAACACTTTGACACACATATGGCACAAAAAAAATCAAAAAGGAAAAAAAAAAAGTGGAGGATGCAGATGGGATGTGGGCAGATACTCTTATATGGATGTATAGGGAAGCTCTTTATTTTTCATTTTTATGCAAATTTCCGCAATGTTCCACACTCCACACAAAACCCGACTGGCTGCCCACTTCCTCGCAGGCTGTCAGGCATTTGTCAGCATAAAGAAGACATCACGAAGGGGGCGGTGGTTGGGTGGTTTTTGGGCGGTGGTTGGGTGGTTTTTGGGCGGCGGTTGGGTGGTTTTTGGGCGGCGGTTGGGCGGCTCTGTTGGGTGGGCGAACGATGTAACATTATGCGTAAGCAAAAAAGACGCGCATGTTTGTTTATCATGCATTTTACATGAGGAGGCAGCACCGCAACGCAGGCATCAGGACATCGTACGTGCCGAATCCACTCCAAAGCCCAACCACATGGGAACTTCCTGCCTGTCTGCTGTCACATCTAACTGGTTCATCATGATTAACAAGTCTTAGCCCAGAGCTCCTCATTCCCTGGATGCGAACTACCATGGGTTTTGTTCGTTCATCATTCTTGTGTCGCGGACAAATTAAAAATGTAGGAATACAAATGAAAGAAGCTGCAACAGTTATATATATATATATATAAAGATAAGCCCGTTTCAATCAATGCGACGGAAATCACTGAGATATTCAAACTAGTTTTAAAATTGTGAAAAAGTAAAAAACCAATACATTTAAAGTCTAGAATTCCGGTGGATTTAATTCGAAAAATGACTTTTGGACACCTTTTAAAGAGATTTTAAAACCTGCATTTCGAAAGAGGACATTAATTTAAAAGTGCATACTTTTGGACACCTTTTAAAGAGATTTGGAAACCCACACCTACTTTTTATATTATTTTCATATAACTTTAGCAAGAAAGGCCCCATCCAACAATCTCATTCAAACATTTTATGATATTGGTAGTCCGTATCTCGTGATACCTGTTCCTAACTCACTCATTTCTGAGAGCGTACATCGCAAAACGGAATCCATCACGAGATTCACAATTTCCCGCAACGTGGAATTGCTCCACAGACATTTGATGGAGTCAAAGGAGCGTCTGCGTCAGACATTTTATGACCCGATTAACTCCCAGGAGGTGGGCAGTGGGTGGTGGGCGGTGGGTGGTGCGTGGTGGGCGGTGGGCTGTGGGCGTGGCCAAAGTGGGACAGCAGCTGGCAGAAGTTAAACACTCGCCGAAGGACTGAGCAGGAAACTTGGTAAGGAACGGCAGGAAGAGCTGAATGAAAATGTTAAGCCATTTAGATAGCAAAACTACCGAGATGAAAGTTTGTGGACATAGCGCAGGAGACGAAGTAAACACACGACAAACACTAGAGTAGATAAGGCGCAGGAAAAGTTTAGCAAAAGCAAATTAAGAACAGGGACCTTTTTTTCACCCAAAAATAAAGGCCATACTCTGAGGGAGAAAGTTGGAGAATGACTGCTTGGGCAGCATTGCAACATCAGAAAGGGTAAAAGGTTGCGTAAAACGCTCTGCTTCTCCGAAAATTCTCAGCAGCAGCTTAAGGCCGTATTAATAACAGTAGCTTCAGCACAAAATACACGAATTTCAAGACTGTAAAATTTAATTTCACATTTCCCATCAAGCTTAAATTGATTTCACACC